ACTTTTAGAACTTGGTGATAGCCTGATAAAATTAAGTGCAGACAGTGATCAGTTTTTGACAGACCGTCTTAGTTCTCGCACTTTCAATAATACAAGAAGTGGCTTATATTCAGCATCTGGTGAATCTGACTCAGGTAGCCAAGATCTTAATATAAATGAAAATCTCCTTGGAAACATAATGGCTTGGTTCCATGACATGAATCCTCAGAGTATTGCACTCATTCCTTCCGCAATTACAGAAGCAGATGATGATTCACAGCAACCCAGTACTGAAGAGAGGTTAATGGAGCAGCCACAAGTAAGACAAGATCTTCTAGAGGAAAATGCCCCTTCTGACGATGCAGTCAAAAGTGAAGGCAAAAGCACCCAAAGAGAAGAAGGTGCTACTGCTGCTGGAGACGTTAGTTATGGAGAAACAGTTCCACAAAGCGAAGACGCTTCTGGAGACACGAGCAGCCAAATTGTAAATTCAGATGTTTCACATCAGACAACTAACACTTCAGCTGAATGGGCTGAACATGTGCATTTGGTGTAATCACAAAATGTATGGATGGGCAAAATGAATTGTTTGTGGAGCCAAAAAGGTTAGGCAATTATCAGTGGTACAATATATAGTGGAAACTTTAACCAATCCTAGCAGAGCTCAGTTGTGTACCCGAGGTGTAAACAATGGGATAAATAGAAATTTCTTGGTGTTCTTCATGAAGCTTATTTGAACCTTTCAGGTAATTTCTATTGCATTGGACAGTAAAGCGGCTTGCTTGTTTGGAGGAAGTAGAAAGCTTGTACTCCATGTTCCTAATACAATGTTGTATCTATTTAGCCTTAGCCTTAGGCTGATGATCCTTAACTTGAAAGGGGAGATTAAAGGCTTCCTTAGTGAGTCATTTAAAACATTTTCTCCTTTTTCTCTTATTTGTCTTATCCTTTAAAAAGGTTTAGCACTAAAATTATGTTTTGCTTTTCCCAATTAATCAATAATAGTATGAACTGAGGTAAAATGAACCTTTTCATGTTTATGTACCAGTACAATGTGCCAAACTGAGCAGCAAATCAACATAAAAAATATGCAGTATTGTTTTTTAATGCTAACTCTTATTTTTAAGGATGTAAAGAACACATACACATGCACAATGACATGCACACATACACATATAGCTTTTTTAAAATCTCACTCATATTTATCACCATTATGATTTCATTAACATAATTTTATCTTAATTAAATCTAATTCTGCTATTAAAGACATTTTAAAAAAATCAAGTTGACTCAGTTGAAAAGACATTTTAACAGAAGGGGAAGTCTTTTTCTATTCATTCTCTGAACTTTGAGCGCAGATGCTTTGAGCAGTAACATTTTACAAAACAACAAAGTCTGCAACTTTCTGAAACTAGAGACAGCCCCTTGCCCCTCCCCCCCCAAACCTAGGAAAGATTAATAATATCACAAACAACATGTTACTGTGCCTTTGCCTAAGCTAAATAGATAGTTGACACAGTTAAATGAATATTAGTTATCTGTTCTGGAGTATACTATGGTATGCTATGAACTGCAGAAACCTCCATAAAACCACTCATGGCCTTTCCTTTCCACTCAGTACCTATATAGGGTATAAGCCTTCCCCATACAGGTATAGCATGCACACCTAGAAAGGATCCCCATAGGATTCCAGAGAGCCTTATTTTTTTCCTTCTCTCCCTATCCTATGTTTGTCAGCATGCATTTGAGGGCAGTACAGCATATGTGAGTATCTGTGTGTGCCTCCTATATCCAGCCTACTATTTTCACTCTGTGAGGTTGTGTGAGCTTCAGCTGAAAAGAGAGGGAAACACAGGAATAAGAGAGTGGGTGCAAAGTGGGTGTCAAATTCAGCTGTTCAGACAAATTCCTTGATTGCCGACACTATAACTGCACGGGGAGTATCATACCTTATATGTCAATATTTTTACAGAAATAATAAAACACTACAATGTATTATTTTCAATTGCACAATATTCATTTAGTATATGATTGGTGATTCATATTTTGTAAAAACAACAACCCAAAACCTTCCCTAATAGTGTCCTACTGTGAAGAAAAGTTTTGTTGAAATTGGCTTAAAAACATCAAAACCTCATTGTAAATTAGTGATGCAGATTGTAACTTTAACTAGAAGTAATTGTTTTAAATTACTGTTTTGCTTGCAAATAATCAAAATCTAGGTTAACAGAAGCAAAATGAATGAAATACTCCATTTCTTTTTTGTTTGACTTGATATGAAAGATTGGCTACGTCTGATACAAAAACTTGCTACTGATTGTGTACAGTAAGGTATTTTGATGGCAGAAAAGGTATATATATTGATTACTGTGTGTTACAAAAAAAAAGTGTTAAATCCTTCATTTAAGCATAACTGTTGGGATCTTGCAGTCCCTGTGGCTCATAAAATTAAATATTAACTATTTAATCCATTTTTAAAAAACTCTGTTTCTTGACATTTATTTGGAAGTAGTAGTCTGCTTCTCTGTTATTATATGCTGTACATCCATTATATTTTTAGCTTGGCTTCTAATTGCCCTGTCCTGAAAGTATTAGTGTTGAATCCATTTTTCTAGCCTTGGAAAATTATCTCTTTAAAAAGCTATTACAGAATCCTTTCTAACTTAAAATAGATCTTGACACTATCGTCACTAATTGGTCTTACATATTTTAAATACACATACAGCTTCCTTGAATTTTAATTTTGAAATAGAATATCACATGGTTTTGTGTATTGCATTAAGATGTCTTGCAAAGCTAAGAGAAGATATGTATGAGTGCTTTCTGTGATGATAGTGAAGTTTGTGGGTTCTGGTTTTCTGTAACTTGGTTTAAATTGTGAAGTATACTCCATTGTTAAATTTATTCTGAGCATGAAATTTAGCATATTAAATTTGTATTTTCTTGATACATATTTAAAATTTAAGACCAGCCCCCTAACTGAATTTAGAATTCTGAAAGAAAGTTTGGCAAGCCTATTTTGTAAATCAATTAATTTTATAAAGAAAAACAAAACTACTATAATCTTGAAAATGGTATTTGCACTTTCATAGTATATACTTGATACATTCCCACTTTATATACAGTAGGATATTACAACCGTATAGATGTTTGGCCAAATGAATGCTATTAATAATATGTAAAATTTTTGATTAAACATTTATTACTTAAACTAATTCCTTTTATCTCCGGTATTTCTTTACCAAATATTGTTTTAGATAAAAGAAGGGTGTTTGGAATTTAAAAAAAAACTCACACTGGTATGCAACAATTTTCTGTTATTTTCTAGTAGAGTGTTTCACTAATAATTCTTATGCTGCACAGAAGTAATTTGTTCTTGCATAAAGTTGAACATTAGCTGTAGTACAGGGAATGGATTTACAATAAATGGATTTACAATCATTCATTTAGTGATCATTCAAAGTTACAACAGCACTGAAAAAAGTGACATATGACCAGTTTTCACACATAGGACTGTTGCAGCATCCCCATGCTCATGTGATCAAAATTCAGATGCTTGCCAACTAATTCATATTTATGATGGTAGCAAGTCAGGATCATATAATCCCCTTTTGCGACTTTCTGAAAAGCAAAGTCAATGTGGAAGCCAGATTCACTTAACAACCATATGCCTAACTTAACAACTTGATTCACTTGACAACTGTGGTTAAAAATGTTGTAAAATAGGGCATAATCCACTTAATAACTGCCTCACTTAGCAATAGAAAATTGGGGCTCAGTTATGGTCATAAGTCAAGGGCTACCTATAAAACCAAACCCTGTTAAGCAAAAGACATCTTCTGAACACAGAAAGGAATCTTGAGATCAAATCCAATATTCTATATTTCAAACATTGTATAAGCTTAAAAATAGGTACTATGAAGAAAAATAGGCCAAAGATAATTAAGCATTTAACAGCCGAAACTCTGAAAAAAAATATCACTGTTAACAGCTCTGCTTAGAAAAAACTGTAGCTTGAGAAACTGAAAACAGCAAGGAATACTGATTGAAGTGCAATTTGCCCTCAGATATCAACAGCTCATTCATTCAAAAAAATTTTTTTTAACATGTAATAAACATTATAAGAAGGATAAACAAATAAAGTTGATGTCAATCTTTATTTTCATATTAGATTATCTTAAATCTTTCAGAAATACTACATGGGGATAATTTTATTTATATTTTCACATTTTCTATACTACGTTTACAAGTAGTCCTTGGTTAATGTGGGTAATTGAAATCAAAATTTCTGTGACTAAGTGATGCAGTTGAAAAATGCAATTTCATATGATCAAATTGATTAGTAACAACAATCCTGATAGTCCCTATTGCTGTCATTAAATGATCACACTGGTCATTAGGTGAGGACTCAAGCCAAGCCAATGTTCAGATCACAACAGCTAAGCCATTCCAAGCATAGTCCCTATCAACTGCCAACCTTGGTAAAGTAATGGACTTCCTCCTCTTCAGTTCCCCTCATCTCCCTCATCTCTACCATCTTTTAGCCATCCTATATAACAGCACTCTTTGGTGATGGCAGCACTGGGACCGTTAGCATTGTCAGCTCCAGCACATCCACCACTGCCACTCAACAGAGTGCTGCCTCAAGCCACACCAACAGTGCCACAGTGCAAAACTCCACTCAACCCCACCCCTGCCAGCATCGGCAAGGAATGCCATTGTTCAGGATAGTCCAAAACGACTAAGATGGGGGGCAGAGAGAGAGAGAGAGAGAGAGAGGTGCTGGAGTGCCCCTGAGGCTGTTAAGAGGATGAATTTTTATCATGTGACTGCTGCATCAGCCATAACTTTGGGAATTAGTTGAATAGATAGTCGTTAACCAAGGACTAACTTTTCGTGAATTTTATTTGTTCAGTTCAAATTTTCTTAGTAGTAATATGGCTTTTTTTTTTTCCTTCCTGGAAGTTCTCTTGAAACATTTCCTTTGGTACAGTCTTTATTCAACCTATACAGCATGCTTTTCACTTCATGAAACCAACAAATCTCAATATAAATAAAAACAAATTGAGAATGTCAATATAGACATTCAGTACTGCAAATACATATTCATCTGGAGTCAGTCGATAATGATGCCTCTTTCCCAGCATTAGTTGCGTGTCAACCAACAGGTACTTAAAAAAAAAACAAGAAAAGGAAAACGCAGTTATTGCCTTTATGTTACTAAATCTTTGTCTCACTTGTCACTGAAGGTACAATTTATTTTAAAAGCAATTATCTAGCATAAAAGTTTACATAATTAACTGTTTTTGTCACTTTAACCCTCAAAGGTCTAGTTAAGTGATTTTAATATTTTAATGTGGTAAAGCTCTCTATTAATAAACACAATCCTTTTTTATGGTAGTTATTGTTATAATATCTAATACAATGATATCATCTTAAGGTTTGTATTCAGAAAATAAACTCATTAGAAACTAAGCAAAACAGATGGCCATAAATTTGATGACCTAATTCAGATAATAATTTAAGTCATTTTTTTTTTACAGAAATAAGCTGTAATGAGTTTCAGTCTTGCACAGAGCTGTTTGCCTCTCACTCTATGTGGCATAGATTCAATCTGCAGCTAATTTAAACTAAAGACTTACTATGCCAAAAAGAAGTGTTCCAATACCAGTATAAAATACATCCGTCAACTGCAAAATAAGAATTTACAATTAAAATTAAGCAGGAACAAAAGTAATTAGGGTTCCTTAAAACCTACTAGTATCCATATGATCCACACACCGGAATACTACTTTGCACTCCATTGCATAGAAGGCAAATATTTTCCTTAGATTAAAGATTTGGCATAGATTGAAGTTGAAGTTACTTGTCTAAGAGTTCTACTTCTTTTACTTTCAAAATGAACAGAACCAGTGATCTGTGTCTGCTCTGCAAACTCATGCCCTGATATTTCAGGGGGTGGGGTGGGAAACAAGGGATTTTTATTTGACAGTGTCAGTTAAATAAGGACCCTTTGGTAATGACAGTGAATGTACTATCCCTACTTGATGGTTTGGTATTCTTCAGATGTTTCCACCCTTCTCCATTGAGATTCTTTGTAAAGCTAAGACAGCAGAATGCTTTACTAAATTGAACCTCACTCCAGGCAGGGGTGAAATTCAGCAGGTTCTGACAGGTTCTGAAGAATTGGTAGAGGAAATTTTGAGTAGTTCTGAGAACTGGCAAATACTATCTCTAGCTGGTCCCAGAGCAGGGAGAGAATTTCAATTTTGCTGTATCCTTGCCCTGGAGTAAGGTGGGAATGGAGATTTTGCAGTATCCTTCTCCTGCTACCCCCACCAAGCCAAGCCCAGAGAACTGGTAGTAAAAAAAAATGAATTTCATCAGTGACTCCAGGTCATAATCCACAAAACCTCTTTAGAATATGACATTCTTCATCTGTTATATCTACCCCTTTGGGAGTTATCAATTAATCTACCGTGATGGGATTCCTCATCCAGATTAGGTTATATGAAGTTGCATGCTAGCTGGGCCCCTTCCTAGCTCACTTTTTGCATACATGCACTTTATACATTTATTCCAAAATATCCCATATTGGATGTCACCTTTCTATTTATTTTATGTAGAGTATTGCTCCTCAGTTTCTTTCTTTTTGCTAGAGAGCTAGCATTAAACTATTTTTTGCCACTCTATTTTTACCTGCTTACCATTTCTTGGTTTTTGCCCCCATATATATTTATTTTTTGTTGATTAAGTGTCTGCATATGTTGTCAGTAAAAATTCCACATATAAAAGTTAAATGCTGTAGTTCTAATGAAATTATACTAGTCTTCCAGCCAAAACAACTCATCAAATTTTGCCTCCAGTTGCATTGCAAAGGCAGTGCCATATAACCTGTACTACAGGAGACTCCACGTGATTGTGCTCAGCTGAAATTGGAAGACCAAAGGTTGATTTAGCAGAATTAAAAGTATTTGCAACCATAATTACCATATAAAAGCAAAAATGATTATAGCTGTATTCTTACTTAGTCTTTAACAGCGTATGAAATTAAAAGTAAAATAGGTAAAAGAAAAAAGTTCTGAGACCAAAAACATGAAAGTATTTCACTTACTTCTGATGGCATGATGACACAAAGAGTTCCAATAATTGCTACTGTATACAACAAGACTAGCAATATTCCAGATGTGATGGTAAGTTGCCACTGAAAAGAAGCAACAATGGAATCAACATATTTTTGTCATCTTACAAATATTAAGATCTAGAATATCTGAATAATATGATGCATACAAGGAAAAATTATAAGCAATACATACACTGGGGTTCCTACCAAACTTAGTATAATTATTTATTACTTAAATTTATATGGCAGTCAACACAAAATTAAAACAACATTGCACCTGGGGTAATGGAGAACTCCCTTCATAAAAAACCAGGTGCTGTCTTCTTGTAAAAGAGAACTTCCAGGGAAAAAATGAGGAACTCAAGGCAGCTCCATTAAGAGTGATGCCCAAAACCACAGCAGAATGAAGAGCAGGTGAGTGGATCAGAGACAGATAGGACTTTCCACAAGTGCACCAGACAGTTGCTACTCATAAGGAGCATGTGCACAGTGGAGTCACAGCTCTTCCAAATCTCTCAAAGCTCTAAACCTACCAGAAACATGCTCCTCATTGGATCCAATGATGATTTGTTGAGGAAGAATGGCCAGTATCACTGTCTCAGCCCTATTTGGATCCAATTACATGTTTCTCAGAAAGCTTTCAGCAACCGGGAGTAACAGAACTAAAACACAGATGGCTGAATTGACATCCCCATTGGATCCCGTCCACTGCTTTGGTGCCAACAATAACTAAACAGTTTTAATAAAAATCTTCTATGCCATTTTATATCTTGGGTGTTTTCCAGAAAATATATCCTGTATGTGATAAAATATATATTTAATAAAGAGCTTAGTTTCCAGGTAAAGTAGCAACAGAGTTTTTCTTCAGCTAAATAGTATCAAACGTAGCTTAGAAATACTGTTGAAAACTACTTTGGATTGTGGTTATTAACAGTGGAAAGAAATATTTCCTTTCCTTATAGTTTCATTATGTGGCCTTTCATTTGATTCAACTCTCAGAGTTTACAGTTTATTTTAATGCTAATAAATATACTTCAGAAATAGATGAATCGAAACATTTTCTATTGGAAATATTTTTTCAAAACAGACAAATACCAAATTTTATTGGTTTTAAAATAATAGCAATAGCAGTTCGAGTTATATACCGCTTCATAGGGCTTTCAGCCCTCTCTAAGCGGTTTACAGAGTCAGCATATTGCCCCCAACAACAATCCGGGTCCTCATTTTACCCACCTCGGAAGGATGGAAGGCTGAGTCAACCCTGAGCCGGTGAGATTTGAACAGCCGAACTGCAGAACTGCAGTCAGCTGAAGTAGCCCGCAGTGTTGCATTTACCGTAACCACTGTGCCACCTCGGCCCTTCCCTTCTAAAATAATAACAAGCAAAGCAAAAACAAAAAAAAACAAAAAAGGTATAAACATTATTTAAAAATTACATAGCGATGCTTAAAAAGTATGTTAAGAAAATACAATATACTTTTTTAAATGACATTAAAATGATTGACAGTATACAATTACAATTCTAGGTATAAGTATTTAATGCAAACATAATGCAGATATAGATATACATACGTGTATGCGTGTATTTCTAATATACTTATATAATTAATAACTATCATAATTTTAACCTATATTTTGAATAAATGAGACCATTTTATTATATTTATCTCTACAAATTCTGTCCATAGGCAAACAGCTCATAAGTAGCAAGTATAATCACATCTCCAATCCACTTAATAAACAGGGCTTTATATTTATCTTTCTAGAGAGAAAGATCTGAGGGGGGGTCTTGAAGTCCCGATTTTTAATTGTGATTTATTTGTCCAGATCTCAAATGGTTCTGTAACATATTTAAACAGTGACTGCTTACTTTTTTCTGAAGAGCAAAAAAACACAGTCCCAAGGTCACTATTGTAGTAGAACCAACAGTCCACATCAAAGAATCTGCATCAAAGAAGCTAAAACCCAAGAACACAATAAATATTTCTATGATATCCATAATCACATCAACACAACACAATGCAATTCAGATCATTTATTAACAACTTACGCATCAAGGGATCCAAGCCATGTACCCATGAGGATTGTCTAAAAATAAAAATAATTTATTACTTTATTATTCAGGTATTATTAGTATTATCGTACATATTAACTTTTTTGCATTTGTTGCTGAAGGAGATTCTTTTCAGTTCAGAAAAAAAAAACTATAACTCATTCTACCATACATCATTTTTACATATAACTTCTCAGAGGGAAAAAAAACCCTACATACAACAGTATTTGTTAGAACAGACTGCATCGATACAGTTTGTAAAATTATGGTATATTGCCGTGGTGGGATTCACAAATTTTTACTACCGATTCTGTGGGCGTGGCTTGGTGGGTGTGACATGGATTGGTGGGTGTGGCTTGGTTGGCATGGCAAGGGAAGGATATGTAAAATCTCCATTCTTACCTAACTCCAGTGGAAGGTTACTGTAAAATCGACTTTTCCTCCCGATCAGCTGGGACTTGGAAGGATGGGGGCAGGGGCAGTCAGAGGTGGTATTTGCCTGTTCTCCAAAGTACTCAAAATTCTGCTACTGGTTCTTCAGAACTGGTCAAAACCTGCTGAATACCACCTCTGGTATACTGTATTAAAATAATTTAGATGAAGGAATAGAAGGGGAGCTCATGAATGTGCAGATAGAGGAAAAAGCCAATGATTTAGAAGACTCTTGACAAAGACATCAACACTGGGTCCTATCCAACAAAATGCAATTCAGTGGTAAGAAAAGTAAAGTTTTACATTTAGGCAAGAAAAAACCAAAAGCACAGATACAGAATAACACTGCTGGTTCAACAACAATTGTGAGAAGGATGTAGGAATCCTAGTGGATAACCATATACCATATTTTTTTGGAGTATAAGCACACTGGAGTAAAAGACACACTAAGATTTTGAAGAGGCACATTTTTAAAAAAACGTTTTTGCACTCTGCAGACTTCCCCAAAGCAACCCATTTTTTTTTTGCAAAAATAGGCTTGTTTTTTTGTCAAAAAAGGGGGGCATGCATAGTCTTTTGAGCAAAAATTGAGCAAAAAATGGCCTGTTTTTGTTCATTTCTGCCCTCCCCAGCCCCCAGGAGCACTCTCTAAGCCTCCCAAAGGCTCTACACAGCTATTTTGGTGAAGGAGCAAGGTTTCAGGAGGCAAAAAATGCTGTATTCAGTGTATAAGACGCACCCAGATTTTCAGCCTCTTTTTTGAGAGAAAAAGGTGCGTCTATACTCCAAAAAATATGGTAAGTGTGCTGCAGCTGCAAAAAAACCCAATGCAGTCCTAGGCTGCATCAAGAGAGAGATAATATCAAGATCAGATGAAGTATTAATACCGCTATATACTGCTTTGGTAAGATCACACTAGAAATCCTATTTTGGTCACCAGAGCACAAAAACCCCCGTTGAGACTCTAGAAAGAATATGAGTAAAAAGAATGATTGGGGTGAGAGACTAAAATATACATTGAACGGTTGTGAACTAAGTAGCTCTCTTCTAATGAAGAGAAGGAGTAGGAATGACATAGTGGTGGGTTCTGGATCCCATATGGTGCAACGGGGCTCAACATCTGCCACATGAATTCGCACAGTGCGCGCATTTGTCCTTACCTCCTGCAACGCCTCCGCAACACTCCAGCTGCTCAGCAAAGCGTCCCACAGGCGCCATACGCTCTGTGCGCATGTGAGGATGCTGAAGAGCTCAAATGCAGGTAAGGAGAATGGGCAGGTGGGTGGGGCCTCCGGAGCACTGAACTGGAACGGTATCCGGTGCTCTTGGCAGGCACCGTATGCCCGTACTGGGGCATACTGCCTGCAACCCACCACTGGAATGACATGATAGCAGTCTTCCAATATTTATGGGGCTGTCATAGAGAAGAGCGAATCAACCTATATTTTCCAAACACCTGCCAACAGGACAAGAAATAATGAAAGCTTATCAAAGATAATTCCGACCTAGAACTAAGGAGAAATTTCCTGAGAATCAGAACAATTAATCAGTGGAACAGCTTATCTTCAGAAGTTATGAGTGCTCCATCCTTGGAGATTTTAAGAAGAGATGGACAGTCATTTGTTCAAAATGGTACATTAAGGGGCTGGACTAGATGAATTCCAAGGTCTCTTCTAACTCTGTTATTCTGTTATTATTCACTTGAAAAAGTGCAAATAACAACAGCGTCAAGTAGATTTTGTATGTTTCAGATGCATTCCTAGATGCAATCATTTATAAAATACAGTTACCTCTGTGCACCATTAATAATAAACAAAAATAATTTGAACTTGCTTGTGATCTATCAGTAATGAAGATCTTACTCAGGAGTAGTTAATTAAGTATCTAGCAAAAGTACTCAGGTCAGGATAGCTAATATAATTTACAACAACCTACAGTAAAAATCAACAATGGCAGAAAATAAATTTTTAACCTATTCAGTTTGACAACTTTGATGAATGTCCTCATGCTATTTATGCCAAAACATATTGCTATTATAAGCAATATGTGGATGAAACAGCATTTCCCCAAAACTTATTTTGGGGGTGAAAATAGCTGTAGTATAGGAAGTACAAACTTTTGTTGTTTTGAACTTTATATGAATTAGATTAGCTTTCTCTATCCTGATGCCCTATTAGCCAAGCTAGCTGGGACCTGGAGCAATATTAGCAGAAATTGTGATCCAGCACATTTCAGTCTGGAATGGAAAATATCACAGTAGACAGTTCTTTTTTCATTTTTATTGTACAAGCCTAGTAGTGCATTATTCAAATTGTAAATTATTGAGAGCCTAGATGCAGCAAAGGGTAGCAATGGTATATAATAAACTAATATTAAAATATAGTTAATATATGATATAGAGCATTACCTTCAAGTGATACTTACAAATAATGCTAATAAAATGATATTCAAAGGAAATTTTCTTCGGGCCTGATCACAGCATGCTAAAGCAATAACCATTAGCAAGATTGCTGGTCTAAAATCAGATAAACTTAAAATTGATATTGTAATTTTAAAAAATAACATTCAATAAATAATTACAGATAAACCACATTTACATTTAATAATCCAATAAAATCCCTTTAAAAGAAAACAATATAAACTGAATAGATCTTTACACTTCTTTAAAAGAAATAAAGTGATGAAGCTTAAAATATTACAGTAAACACACCATTTCTCAGAGAGTAAATTTCACTCTAGCCACATTGGATTAATAATTGATGCAGATCTCCTACAAATAGAGCTGCTTCTTTCAGCGGAAATTTGAAAGGACAATTTTCAAACTCACACATATGGCCCCAATGACTTGCACTGAGCCTCAAGAGCAGATTTGGGGGAACATGAAAACTTGACAGATGAGTAGAATCACTCTTTGCCCATTTTGGTTAGAAGACTGGCATCCATTTTTAAAATCTCAATAAAACAGAGATTCTATCTAGTTACAGTATTAGAACTTTGTCACGATTATTATAAGAATATCTCTGTACCCATAACTCAACTAAAAGATTAATTTACTTCTGCACCTAATTGACTTTGGATAAGGTTTTGAGGCTAAGCAGCACTGACTACATGCATAGAATTTTAGTGGATGGCCTCCTATAATCAGAGCTGTAGATTAGATTGGAAGTAAAAAATATATTTGGGGGTAAATGGCAAATCACTTCCATATTGATACCAATAAAATAGTGTGGGAAGAACCTCCTGACACTGAGTTAACTCAAGATGACTTTACCTTGCAGTCCAATTTACTGAACATACCACGTCTATTAATTATTTTCATAATAATCAAATTATTATTATTTTCATATTAAATGCCAATGTAAATTGCCTAGAGAGTGGAATAGAAACCATAATACTAATAAAGTAAATCTGAAGATGTCATCTTCTCAATTCTATTAATATATAGTTTTATCAGATAGAATTTTATAAGTTCTTAATTGGCTTAGGATACTTGAAAGCAATGGATTAGCATCTATAGCCAAGATAACTAATTACATTAAAAAGATGTGCAAAAGGAACAAATAATATAAATTTGTATTAAATAATATTTGAAATTTGAAATTTGATGAAATTTTAAACAAGTGATCATCAAATATCAAACATACAGTGTAATTGCTTAATATTATTAAGTACGGTTTCTCAACCTAGAAACTGCAGATAAATTGGTACTACAAGTAGTTGCTTTGCTTGTTCCGGGATGTTGGATTTTTTATAGTTTTTCTAAGAAACAATACTTATTTACTAGGGAGCAGGTTCTAATAATTGACAATTGCATATATAATACTTACAAGAGAGAATAGCAAAACCATGGACGTCTACGAACCCATATTTTAAGGAACTTCCTAGACCAAAAAAGTTCAAATATGGTTACAGAAATAGTTAGTAATTTATTCAATTAATTTTAAAATATTTCCATCTCACCTTTCTATATTCAGTAGAGATCATAACAATATTAAAATTAATGATATTCAAAACCCAATAAAACACAGAAAGCGTGATGAATGTTAATGAACGGAGCTTAATATACAGAAAACATTTTACAATTGTTATATTTTAGAATAATTTATACAGGAGAAATTACTTTTTAAAAAAAATCATCTTTGTGTCAGTGAAGTCTGGTATGTATGTAATGTTCTTCCTATTTTTTCCTATAACAGTAGCCCTGAAAGGTGGATTGGACTTGTTTAATAGCAAAGCATAATTTTTTCACCAGAGAGAGGAGAAAAACTGTCAGTTATAAATTTGTAAGTGTATTCATTTTGCATAAATCCATTACGTATATTTAAATGGTGCTTACTGTATAGCTTAACATTTTTCTGCATTTAAAATTGTATTTCAAATCAAAATTTGACATAATTTTTGGGTAATTTAAAACACCTGAATAATCGACTTTGTGTCCCAGATGTAATTCAAGCACTGAACATCATGGAAAGATAGGGAACAGGAGACAGTTTTTCCCTCCCCCCATTATTCAAATCCTAGAAAATAAGGAAGTTTTATCATGAATAACTTGTTAGTCACTTTGGTTCAGTGGTGGGATTCAATTTTTTTAAAGACCGGTTCTGTGGGCGTGGCTTGGTGGGTGTGGTGTGGTGGCTTGTGGGTGTGGCTTAGTGGGTGTGGGAGGGGAATGATACTGTAAAATCTCCATTCCCTCCACACTCCAGGGGAAGGTTACTGCAAAATTCCCATTTCCTCCCAATCAGCTGGGACTCGGGAGGCAGAGAATAGGTGGGGTGGGGCAAGTCTGAGGTGGTATTTACCAGTTCTCCAAACTACTCAAAATTTCCGCTTACGGTTTTCCAGAACTGGTCGGAACCTGCTGAATACCACCTCTGCTTTGGTTCGTATGAACTTGTTTATCTTTACCTAAGTTGCACTTTAATATTGGCAGAGGATGTTTTCTCCTCTCAATAAGAGAGGAAATATTTGAATCCACCAAAATAAAATGAAATAAGTCATGGAGGAAGAGAAAATGAGAAAAGGATCAAAAGATTAGACTTTCACATGTCAATATTGAGGAACTCAGCTGGCTAAAACCATGCTAGTTAGAACAACTGAAGAAAATGCACCTTCTGCAATGTGGTAAATAACATCAAAAATATACACAACCCTTAACCATTCAAGATACAAACATGCTGATGTGACCAGATCTATCCCTGTAGTAGATCTCCTGCACAAATCAAGTGGAAGACATATTTGTCTGCAAGCAAAATACTAGCTTTTCAGTGGTGTGCAGTATTTAGTAATTCATATGTAATGGAATGAGTTGGGCATTATATTGCATTATTATTGGAACTAGTTGCTGCTGACACTAGGCACCCAGTATGGTTATTGTCCCATCATATCCTGATGGCACCAAGCTGGTGACAGCTGCAGTAAAGTACACTTACCAGTAGATGAACATACATATTATACCAACAGTGTAACCCAGTTGAAATGCCAACATGAGATATAATTTCCAAAGAAAGCCTAAGGAAACAGAAACATAATTTCAGATTATATGTTTAAAACAAATCAGGCAATCAAGTTTTGTTTGGAAGTTAAAAGAAAGCAAAAACAGTGCCCTTTTAATAAATCCATGAATTATTCAATTCATCAAATATGTAAGATTAGATAATGTAAATAAGAACAAATATGTAAGATTAGATAATGTAAATAATGTTTTGTTCCCCAGGTTATTCCTCTCAAATGTAATATACCTCAGTTGATTTTTCAGACATTGAACAACTGTGTGTTCAACAACTTTCTTAGATGAAGAGCAAAATAATTTCTGCCATTGTTTTCCTCCTAATTGTTAACTGTTAGGCCTGTGAATCAACTAGGGGACATATGTAACTCACTGAGATGTGTAAGAGGAATATGTTGTTAAACCCATAATTTCCATTGACAATTCAGGGAAACAGTTAAAATATCCTTTGGTTTTTTAACTTATTTCATTATAGGTAGTCCTCGACTTACAACCACAACCGAGCCCAAAGTTTATGTTGCTAAATGAGACATTCAAGTGAATTTTGCCTCATTTTATGCCCTTTCTTGTCATAGTTATTAAGTTAGTAGCAAGGTTGTTAAGTGAATCTGGCTTCCCCATGGATTTTGCTTGTCAGGTTGTAAAAGCTGATCACACAACTGCCATGAATATCAACCAGTTGCCAAGTATCTGAATATTGACCACGTGATCATGATCAATGCCACAATGGTTGTAAATAATGGTCATAAGTTACTTTTTTCAGTGCCGTTACGATAGTTCTGTAAAATGTTTTGTCTAGCGGATTAAGGCACTACATTCCAATCATTTCTAACTCCCTCCTCCCTCCCAAGAATGGCAACTAAGAAACGAAGGGAAAATAAACATGGCTTCAGCCAAAATCGTTTCAAAGTTGACAGTCATTGCAATTTCAAACAGTCAGTAAACAAACAGTTGTAAGTCCAAGACCACCTTTTTTTCCTGTATAAAGAAATTGACTAATGTTGAAAACAACCAACAGCATTTGCTGAATTCAAAATAAAATGTCTTGTATCTTCTTCTTTTATTATTATATTCTTTCTTGAAAATGTTTCCTAAATGAAAAAAATAATGTTGATGGGATATGAATGGATTAGTTTTTGCTGCCAAACAACATTACAGCTGGCAGTGGAAGTAAAAGAGACATTATTAAATTTTCATTCTAGTGAAATTTTATAGGTTGATATCAAAAATATCAGTAAAGAAACTACTTTCTGTACTTCCTTGATCGATTGCCTGTAAGCCACATAGCAAAGCATGTATCACAAAGAATGAGTTACTAGGCTGGGCAGAGTGGATGGCCACTTTCTGATACTGAAAAAAATTAACTGAAAAAGGAGTAGCAGTGGAAACAATGAACTCAAAGTTTTCATAGTGTAAATGTCAAGAAATCAGCCCTGTCAAAAGTACAAAAAACTACAAAAACATCTCTACTACTAAGGTGCTTTTTTCAGGAGGCAACTGGACTATTTTTTCTCTTTGAAGACATTTTGCTTCTCATCCAAGAAGCATTTTCAGCTCTGACAGGAATAGAAGGACTTATATTCCTTGCATCTTTTTAGAGGGTCGTTGAAGCACTTGAAGGTTGATCTGCGTCCTCAGGGTCACTTGAGTAGTGCAAATAATTCCTTTAGTCTGCAATTTTTCCTCTGGAAATACATTCCTACTCCCACACTATTCAAAGGGTGTTCAGCCCAAATTGTATAGCTAAAGGTCTATTTAGCTATACTTTTAGCTGTACAATTTGGGATGGACACTCTTGGAATGGAATTCCAGAGAAGCACTACTCAGGTGATCCTGAGGACACAGATAAACCTCCAAGTGCTTCAACTACCCTCTGATAGGATGCAAATAACCAGCTGTCTGCAAGGAAATAAATCCTTCCATTCTGCACTGTCCTGTCAGAGCTGAAAAAGATTCTTGGATGAGAAGTGAAATGTCTTCAAAGAAAAAAAAACAAGAAAGTCCAGTTGCCTTCTGAAAAAGCACCTTTGGGATATTCTCTAATGTAGGACTCTCCAACCTTTTCAACTTTAGGCCAGGAGGGCTTCAACTACTGGAATTCTGGGAGTTGAAGTCCTCCAGGCTTAAAGTTGCCAAGTTGGAGACCCTTGCTCTAATGTGTGTGCAAGTGGGCAGGGAAAGGCTCTCTGGATTTTCATTTCCTGAAGTTCTTCCCCTTCCTCTTCTTGAAGCAGTTGTCTGTTCATTCTCATCACTAGGTAAGCATGTAAGCAGAAATGGAGAGTAGTTTTAAACTTAAAGTAGATTCCACTTGGATATTAAGCAAAGTCAGGTAATTATGGTAAATACTGGAGGTGCATGGACGGTGCAAATATTTTGAATTTTAAGTTTAAAATTCAAAATATCTCTCTTTAAGTTTGATAGCAATTTTGAATAGATCATATACGGAACGGATTTAGATTTAAAATTGGATTATTTCAAATTTAGAATGGCTCAATTTCCTGCCATTTCATGAACTTAAGAATGACTGTTTAGAGCCAAATGCATCCAATTCAAAGTATAACCCATTATCTCTGAATAATCTTTGTTACTGTAGGCTAGACTCCTTACAAAGAATATTACAGAATGTTGGATGAAGTTTACCAAATCAATTCTATTCCTGGGGAGCTGAATTTAAAGGGAAGAAATAACAAGATTTTCATCTTCAACCTGAAGTAACATACTTTCATTGACCAATGACCATGTGATTAGAACTATTGACAACTTTATACCAGTTCTTTTCTACATGTTCTTGACTTGCCAGAGATTGTTGCCACTTACTTCTGCGAACGGCTTTGTCTGCAAATGGACCTGCATCTTCAACAACATTTACCATGTGTTGGCGTCTTCTGTGCGATGGTCCACGTCTTGGACGTCTGCCAGATGATGGAGAAGATCTTGTTCTTCTTATGTTTGATGGATCCCTTTCAAATTTTGATGAAGCCTCTCGAGCAATTATTTTCTCCTTACTTTGTGGTAATTTATCTTGCTTCACAAATTGCTTTACTGGACTTGGGACTTCTGGAGAATCACCACCAGGATGTTGGTATTTGACATATTCTATGCCTCCAGGAAAACCTGCTGGTATGTTACTGTCCATCTTGGATAATTCCAATCCAGTTATACCTTTAGATAACATCAATACACTCATTACAATAGTTATTGTGCTGAAACTCTTTCAATTTTGTCTTCTTCTTCCTGCTGCTGATGAGGTATGACCAGACTGGCACTTTCTGAGACATCTGCTAGCTGTGCCAGACCTTCTTCTTGAGATCATGTGCCTTGCACAGTCTTCTTATGAGTTTTTGTAGCCTTCCATGCCGGACATGCCTCATCAACAGCAGAAGATGGAAAAGGCTAGCTGGGGGAAGGAAAGGCAGTGGAGTCCAGAATGGCAGTCTCTTACCTTACCAAAAGAGCACAGATGGGGAGAGATAGGCAGATGGGGGACGTTAAGGAGGAGCAGTCTCTTACCTTACAAAGGCTCCTGACTGAAAGGTAGGAAGTTGGGAATCAGAGTGAGAACAGCCAGTGAGATTTATTTATGAAGGGCAATGGGGATGTTAGAATTGCAATATGGTCATGTGACATCCCTTTTTATAGCTGCATCACTTGGCATAGACATTTCAGTCCCAATTGCTGTCATTAACCAAGAAAAACTGCAAACTGTTTTTCTCTGAAATAATGTAGGTTAAATAAAGGGTTCCACCACAAATGCGCGCACAACAAAAGCGCGCCTGACTAAACCGCGGTGTCTAAAGCGCGGTGACAAAACCGTGCGACGAATGAGCGACGAATTAGCCCTAAAGCGCGCCGACAAAAGCACGCCGACAGAAGCGCGCTGTAACCTAACCCTAAACCTAACCCTAAACCTAACCCTAAACCTAACCCTAAACCTAACCCTAAACCTAACCCTAAACCTAACCGTAAATCTTACCTTAAATTAAATTGCACTGTTGTCGGCGCGCTTTTGACATCGCGGTTTTAGCGCCACGGTGTTGTCGGCACGCTTATGACGTTCACGCTTTTGTCGGGTCACGAAATAAAGTATTGTAAACCAATGGGTAGATTAAGCTGTTATTTGGATTGCTTTCATCTTTTTTAAATTGTCAATGTGGAAGTGAGAAGTGTTGATGTGTCTTTGTTGTTTCCCTGCAGGATTTTTTTATCTTCTACGAAAAAGGATTTAGGATAGTTCCAAGGCTGGTTTAATTTTTTTTACCTCAGGTTTAAGTACGTCCTCCTAAAATATTTCCCACCCAGTGTAGACATTCCATTTGTTTTTACTTCCTCCTGAATCAGGAAGTTAAAGCTTTCCTTCTCTTTACCAATTTCCTTGTATTTAAGTACAATGACAATAAAGATTATGCTTATCCTTATACTGAAGTCAATTTATTTTATTTTAGCTCTTTGAGGTTCTTCTTTGACTCCTTGGCTTTCTAAAATTGAAGACTGAAATTCATAATTTTTTTTGTAAATTAGAAACTAGGAGAAGCCTCTTTCCTCAAAGCCAGTTGAATAAGATTAAGGATGTGGTGGGAGGAAAATCACAATAGAATAGAATAGAATAGTTGGAAGGTACCTTGGAGGTCTTCTAGTCCAACCCCCTGTTCAGGCAGGAAAACCAATACCATTTCAGAGAAATGGCTATCCAACTTCTTCTTTAAAACTTCCAGTGTTGGAGCATTTATCAATTCTGGAGGCAAGTTGTTCCACTGATTAATTGTTCTGATTGTCAGGAAATTTCTAAAATTCTTTAGTTCTACGTTTTGCTTCCCTCCTTGATTAGTTTCCATCCATTGCTTCTTATCCTGCCCCCAGGTACTTTGGAAAATAGATTGACCCCTTCTTCTTTGTGGCAAACCTATCAGAACACTGCTATCATGTCACCCCCTGTCCTTCTTTTCATCAAACTAGACATACCCAGTTCCAGCAACCATTCCCTATATAGAATAGAAGAATAACAAAGTTGGAAGGGACCTTGGAGGTCTTCTAGTCCAACCCCCTGCTTAGGCAGGAAACCCTATGTCACTTCAGACAAATGGTTAACCTAGTCTGGCTCACAGATTAGTTGTGAGAAATTAGAGGACAAATACCTTCATACCATTATGTTTCCAAGAAGAAAGACTTAGATATAATCAAGTAGAAAACAAAGTATTTTACTGAACTGAACTGAACCAATAGTGAACACAGGGGTGTAACGGAAAAACTAAAGTACACTAAAATACGTGTGAAACATTAATCTAATGGACGTTTCATCCCCAAAAATTAAAGTTCTGTATTTTTATATTTTATGATTAAAAACAATAAAGAATGCCTACTTGGAGGAAAAAATCTTTATGAACCTGAGGGTAACATTTTGTGCCTTTCTGGCAATATTGAAACCACAATTCTAATACACAAACATTGAGTACATTGGAAAGTTGTTATTAGAAAGCTAAACCAACGTGATTTTAGAAGAGCAGTTAGTAGTTTGCCATTATATAGAAATGAGAGAGTGACATAGGCAAATAAGAAAAGAATGAGGAGGAATGATTTACACTTCTACAATAGAGAAAAACTATTCTAATTAGAACAGTGAGTAACAGACTATTCTTTATTAGAGCAGTTAAACCTAAGAATTTTAGAATTTGGTATTTGCAAATTTAAAAGCGGAGTGCTTAGTGCTCTTTATCCAGTGGTGGGTTTCAAAAATTGTTGGAACCTACTCTGTGGGTGTGGCCTCCTTTGTGGGAGTGGCTTGCCACCCATGTGACTGGATGGGAGTGGCTTGCTGCCCATGTGACCGGATATGAAATTATGAATTAGTACTTAGGTCGGTCCAAGTAGCTGTTCAGAAACTCTGGCATTGAAGCATGCAAGTCTTAAAGCTATCAAGTTACAAGATCCTTGCCAGTGGTGGGTTTCAAAAAATTTTGGAACCTCTTCTGTAGGTGTGGCCTGCTTTCCGGGTCCACTGGTGGAACCTCTTCTAACCAGTTCGGTAGATTTGACGAACCGGTTCTACCGAATAGGTGCGAACTGGTAGGAACCCACCTCTGTCTTGATCTGAATGCTAAATAAACTTATAAATTCTGAATTACAGAATTTGGCGTTTTGATCTAAGCAAGGAACAAATTAAAAGGAATAAATAATTCCAAGAGATATATACATCATAGTTGAGTGATTGGTAAAAACTAGTTATAAATAAAACATTTAAATATTTCTTTGTCAGTTATTATCAAGCTTTTATTTATGCAGACCACTAAAATCTATCACACTGCAGAAGAGGTCTCCCTGTCTCATTCATAGGAAACGGAAATGAACTTTTTTTTTAATACCAATAGCACTTAAACTTATATACCTCTTCACAATGCTTTAAAACCTGTTTATAGAGTCAGTATATTGCCCCCAACAATCTGTGTCCCCATTTTACCGATCTTGGAAGGACGGAAGGCTGAGTCAACCTTGAGCCTGGTGAGATTTGAACTGCCAATTGCAGTCAGCCAGCAATCAGCAGAAGCAGCCTGCAGTACTGCATTCTAATGACTGCGCCACCACGGTTCTCTTAAAATAACATTTTAATGTTGTCACTTGAAATCATGTGAGATAATAAATGATCAATCCAAACCTTGAAAGATCAACCTAGACATTAACATTTTTGTCCAAATTTTGCAAGGTCTCCCAGGATCTTTGTCATTATTTATTGAATTAAAATGTTATTTTGACAAGAAGGTTGTCTGGCCCACTATAACATTCCTAGTCATAGGATTGGAACTATTAGTCATAGCTTTATTTTTAGAATTACACGCAGATTAAAACAGATCTAGGTTTCTTCAAACGTTTCTTAGACTAATGCAAAACATAGCATTTTCATCTATAGGAAAAGTGCTTTACATTAGAAGGAGTTGCAAGTTTAGAATAAGAAGTAAAGGAAGTTCATTCAGATAATATTATGCATCATTAAAAGTTAAGATTACTTACTAAAATATAGATGGTTGCTACACTGAATTTTGAGAAGACTCTATGGCAACGTGATACATAGAAGTTTCAAGCAAGAAAATTCTAACAGCAACAGTTGGTAAAAGAGTCTTATGTGAACCAAGCAAAAATACATGGGGGAAAACATCCCATGTATTTGGCCCAAAACAGCCAAAATCTGCTTCTCTTACAACAGACCAACCTATCTCTGTGCTCTGTTAGTAAAAGCTTATATTACTAAGAACTTCAAAACTATAATTGCTTTTTTTTTATCGTGTCACTGAAGGTTTTTAACCAACTGCTTATTTTTTTTTCTTTACTGAGAACAATAAAAGCAAGAAGTTCAGAAGTATGGCAGATAGTCTTGGCTCAGTGGGTTACCATATCTTGCTAGTAGAGCAGCACGGAACATCAGATTCAAATGTGAAAATGTGCTTTACAATATTTAGAGACAGCAATGTAACACCTCTCTGCATTTCCTTCGTTATGAACAATTTTAAGCTTTACTATTAGTACTGCAATAAAGGTGATATTGGTATTCTGACATGGCAAAGTGACATGAAGTTTAAATAACCATGTTTTTCATTTGAGCCAAAGCAATTTCCTTCCAGGTGCAAAAGCTAACTCTTTCAGGCACCATCAATTAAACAAAACAGTTTCATTCTGAAGACCCCAATTACACTTAAGTTGCAAATGGTAAGGAAATAAGCACAACATATTTTAATGTCTAACCATTCCAAAGCCTTTATTGCACATCAGTGTCTTTTATTGTTTGATATCTTTTTTTTTTTTTTTTTTTTGCTTTCTGATGCATTACATAAATCAAATGCCTGTCTGTGCTTTACATAAAGACTCAACTGCCTCTTAATGAAGTTTTGCCTGAAGTACTTTTTGCATTGCCATTATGGGGGAGACATGTAAAAGTCATTTTACAAAGTTTTTTCTCTTTCAAATCTAAGTTTGTTCAAATGATTCTAAGTTCTTTCCAACTTTTTTCTAGCTAGTTTTTCCCCCCAACTCTTTCCAATTCTATGTGTAACGGGAACACAGTGTTCTTTGGGCTCGTACCCCTAAGATGACAGTCAGCATAGGGTGAATTCACCCCTCTATCTTCAAAGGAAGTGAACAACTAAGGAGTTAGGAGGAGGTAAATGCTAGCCGGTAAT